AGCTGGAGAGTGATTGTGATGATGATGCTTTTTTCCTTATTAATTTTTTTTTCTTCCATATCTGAAGGTTTTTTTCCTCCCTGGGAACATTTAATGTTAATAGTTATTGTATGAGAAATTTTAAATTAGTGTCAGCTTGCGGTTATAAACTCTTATGGAAATTATTATATTGTAATAGTTGGTTGGAAACTTCTGATAAGGAATCTTTGCTCGGTCATCAACTCATTTGGCCTCTTATGCAGAATGTCTGTTAATTTGATTTACCATTTTTATGTGGGTTCTACGTGTTCCTAAAAGGCATGCCCAACTTGCATGTTGCAAAATATTTTGGCTCTGGCTACTAAATCTTGTCTTAGTCTAAACAGACAAATTGATCTTAGTTCTGAAGTTAAAATAATCCGGTAGCTGTTTGGTGGGCCAATTTGTTGGCTGACGGTTTATTTTTCTTAGTGTTCATCCCTGGTTATTGATCGTTTTAAGAACATCAAGTTATCTGATTTGTGGTAATAATCTTCCATTTTTGTGATATAATATGCTAAATCACAACCAGAAGTAGTAGACAAATAGCCCTCGTGAAGATTTAATTAATCATGCGGTGGCAGGTGGATGACCTGCCAAATCTCCAACCTGCAGCTATTCTTCTTTAACTGTTTGCTTGAAAAGAAAAAAAAGGTTGACAGTGTAGTGCGACGAAGTTTCTAGGAGGGTCAGGTATATACAATGCTCGCACATGTTAGTTGGTCTGGATCCTGGGGTTCTAATGTCCAGGGCATAATTAGTTGTATGCCCCCGAAAGTGAACCAACTAATACAAGATCAATCATTAAGTTGTGAATTCCAACTTACTGCTAATTCAATATAAATACTTGAATTAAGTGATTATACGTGTCTTACATAAAGTGCGAATTTATATAGTTGAGGATGGTGAGAGGGATGATGGGAAAGGAAGGCAGAGGGAAAAGTGGGTGACAGTGTGGAATGGTAGTAAAAGATATGTCCAAGTTGGTAGGACCTACCTGGGAAAGGAAAGCAATCAAGGAGATTCAAGGGAGATGCGTAACTTAGAATGCCTACCAAAATAATCGCAGTCTTTGACATCACCCAAAAGCTTATATCAGAAGAAACAAAAGATTGAAAAAATAAAAAAGTCGTTTCTATCTTAGTGGTTAAGCATAAATGAATTTTAAACAGACGACGTGCAATTCATAAACTTGAGATGGTCATCCAAGCAACCCAAGTGCGACCGAAATATTATTTAAAGCAGGAAAAAATAGATATATGAAATACAACTTGAATTTGTGATTTCATTATTTGGTGGGTAGGGAGCTCTTAAAATCCAGCTTAAGCTAAATGGATTAACTTGGTAGTTGAAATTAGTGAATGCAGCTAGCTGTTTACTTGAGGTGTACTGTATATTACCACGTGAATATATTCTATTTAATTTTTATTTGCGTTTCTTTCCCTTAATATATTTTATTTAGTATTTCTTTGCATTTCTTGTTAAATTTAATTGAAGGTCTGAAAAAATCATCGCAAACCATTAAAAATTTTAAATGGTGGACAGATTTGTTTTAACAAAGTGATTGAAATTTATCAGCTATTTAAATTTTAACTGCTAAATCAAAATTCATTTATGATGGAGGTTCATCAGACATACTCTCTCTGGTAGGATGTTTGGTGTAGTAATCACAATGCCTGATTCTTGTGCACATGCCCACCACACCACAATCTACAGTTTAATTCTAAAGCATTTTCTTAAGAACCAAAATATGTAGAATAAGAAAAAGAAAACAATTAACTTTACAGCACAAAGAACAAGAGATTCTGAAAAAGTTAATTAATCATTCATATCACTTTGTTCAAAGATAAAGAACATCAACTTTCATACTCAATCCCACCCAATCCTCTATACCTTCTTCAAATTTCTTAACAAAGAAGATAACAGATCAAACCCAGGAAAAAAATAAGGTTCAGAAAACCAGGGAGTTCTTTTATAGACAAACTAGAGTTCAGACAGACATCCTCAACGCTCAATCTCAACAGGGTATTTAAATATGTGAATTTAAAGTCAAATGCCGGATGAGGAGTGGTAGTAAAACTAAGATGCATTCAGATAAAAATAATTCAAGCTTACACAGATCGGTCCAACTTGATTGTAGTTAAATATAATGGAATGGATCTCCATTCACTGACTAGACTGTAATATGCTCCGTTTTCTTAGCCTGCCCGTATCAACTACACTGGAAAAGTATGCTGAAGAGACACCTCTAAAGACCACTGTTTGAATTATATCCAAGTTCAAACATCTGATCAAACTTTTTGTAGATATTGCTCAAGCCTTCTGTTTAGACTTCTTCATAAGCTCTATGAATTCCATAAAAGCTGCAAAAGAAAATCAAGGAAAATAACTGTGCATTAACGTTTCAGGAAGGGTAAAATCAAGAGATACATATGAATCACACTCTGACATCAAGTTAACTGGAAAGAAGGAATGAGATGGTGCCCCCACATCTACTAACTCCCAATCTTTTCAAGTCCTCAATCATGAATTTCCTTGAGATTTATAATAACTATTATTTCTTCCTATTAAAGAAAAGGTAAATTAGGTTAGATGATATAAAAGTAAATTATACCATTTGTAATTAATTATCCATTTTCTTTTTTATCATAGAAAAAAAACCTTTATATATAGGGGCTATAATATTTACTAGAATACAAATAAAACCATTCTTAGCACTCCCACTACATAACCAATAAATGTTCTAATGCAATTGGTGCTTTTAGCATCAAAAAAGATAATTTACGTAGAAAAGTACTCAATTATACATATACAAGAAGAAAAATTTCCATTACCGCCATCAGAGTCATGAGGTCCTGGGGATGCTTCCGGGTGGTATTGAAGAGACATGATTCTGAGTGCAGGGTAAGCAAGGCCAGCACAGCTTCCATCATTAAGATTGATGTGAGTTACTTCAACACCCTCAGGAAGTGACCCAGGGTCAACAGCAAAGTTGTGATTCTACCAAATCATAAATTTAAAGGGCAACAAGTGGTCATGTTGAGGAGAAGAAATGAAAGTTATAGGTATCTTAAGAAAAAGTTGTACTCTGCTGCTTCAGAAATGCACAAAAGCAATCAAAACTCCACTAGATAGATGCCAGCCTCAAGATAAATGCATGTAAGATGCAAAGTTTTGAATTAAATTATAAAACAATGAACATTAAGATACTGGTTTCAATAAAACAGAGGAGAGGTGGTTCCATGTTTGATAGAAGAAATTAATGACTTTTCTAGCCTCAATATTACTGCACTATATGTAGCATTGAGAAAAAATATGGCTAAGTACTTTGAGATGAAAGAAAAACCAAGTGTAGAAGAGCTCCGAAGATAAGGCCATGGCAAAGAGGTGAACAGTCATTGTATGACTGTAGAAAACTCACTTAAAAGGATTATCATCATTCATCATGCATAGAAAGCATTAAACAATGATTAAATTCTAACACATCAGGGTTTCAATTGTTCACCTTTTCCTCCATTTCCTATTGAATTCCTAGTTCTAATGCTCATATTAGTCTTAGTAAACGTAATTACAATTTATGGTGTTTCGAGTTAATATACCCCACTTAGAAGTTCTTGATGGTGGAAATTCATCACCCACTTTATGGAAATTGAATCAATTGCAGCACGAGGATATTTTATTAGGTAGATGTCAAATACCAATTACATTATTGCAAGGGAGTTTAACTAAACAAGGGTTGAGAAAAATTAGATATTTAACTTTGAAGCATATTTCTATTATGCACATATGAAAGATACAACTCAATAAAAAACAGAGGTTTATTAAATCAAGAAACCTGTGCGCTGATCTCAACATTTCCATTTCTGATATTGCGAACTGGGTGATTTCCTCCATGGTGACCAAACTTCATTTTGAAGGTTTTACCCCCCAATGCCTGGCCAAGTAACTGATGACCCATACAAATTCCAAATACAGGAACCTTACCCACAATTTCCTTGACTGTTTCGACAGCATAAGGAACTGCAGAAGGATCTCCTGGGCCATTGCTGAAAAGAACTCCATCTGGGTTCATCTTCAGAACTTCAGATGCTGGCCATGTTGATGGGACAACAGTAATTTTACATCCATAAGAAGCTAGTCGCCTGAGTATATTATGCTTGATTCCAAAATCATATGCAACAACCTACATTTATTAAGACACAACAACAGACTAAGAACAGATCGAAAAAAAAATTAGTTTCTTGTAATGTTTGAGAAACTGAATACTAACACGGTAAGACACTCCATCTCTTGCATGAGAATTAAAATCCCAGTCTGACCTTGTTTTATCAACCCATTCGTAAGGAGCATTGCAGGAAACATCACTTATTAAATCAACACCTGCAATGTTACACCAGATAAGCAAAGGACAGCAATGTCCACAAATCCCTTTCACTTATTGATCAAATTCTTACCGACAATATCCCATGAACGAGACATTTCTATAAGTTCTTCATCTGCTTTGGATTCTTCTGTGCTCAATACACCAATAAGACTTCCATCTTCTCTTAATCTGCGGGTGATTGCACGTGTGTCAACATCATCTGTACAAAACGAAACAGCATCAAGTGCAAAAGAGAGGTCAGTAGTTATGCATAACTTAGAATTGACAATGCCTAGATATTTTTAAGGTATAATATAACTTACAAATTCCCATGATGTTTCTCTCGGCTAAGTAATCGCCAAGTGTTTTTGTAGTCCTCCAATTTGAAGTACTAAAATATTGGAATCGAAGTGTTAGGCTCCTTTAGATGAAAATATAAGCAATTTTTGAGTGCAAAGTCAAGAAACATACAGTTTCTTTGAGTGGCATTAGAAAGAGAAGCTTACCTGATACTTAAACTTCTGATCACTAGACCAGCAAGAAAGCACTGTCTGGACTCTTCATCATCTGCAAAGAAGGCAATGAAGTTAGGATTCAAAAACAAAAGCTGAGGGGAAAAAGGGTAGAATGAGAATTTCACCTACCATAATTAACACCAGTGTTGCCAATATGGGGGGTTGTCATTAGGACAAACTGGCCAGCATAACTAGGATCAGTAAGAATTTCCTGATACCTGTACAAGTTGTATATTGCAATCATAAATTAGACTCTAGATGTATACCAGAATTCAGACATGACTTCTTAAATATTAAACCTGATTATTTTACTTTTCTTTTTGGATCAGAGAAGTACTATATGATATCAAAGGAGAGACCTCTATAGTGGCCATGTGCCTCATCTGAAAGAGACATAAAATGTGAAACATATCCCAAACAAGGAGAGAAGGTAAAAAAAGATCTTTGAAAATTCTAGCTTGTCCTCTAATCACAAGACTCAGAGCAAAAAGAGCTCCTCTTGAAGGCAACCTATCCTCACTATTCTTCCAAACACCATGTAGTTGCGAAGAGGACTTAAAACACCAAGGCATGTTCTCTAATCAGAAGACCGTAGCAAAAAGAGATCCCCTTGAAAGCAACCCATCCTCTCCATTCTGGCCAACACCATGTAGTGAAGAGGAGTTAAAACACCCAAGGCATGGGAGAAACCAGACAAGACCAAACCATTTGTATCGTTTGTTTAGAAATAAAGCTGCCAAGATAGACCTTTAAAAGAGCACTCAGCAAAAAGTGTGCATTTTGAATGTCTTTAAAATTTGTGTCCTTAGATTCATATTGATATTGATCCAGTCATGCAGAGAATTAGACATTAAGATGCTTACGAACTACAAGCTACACTTTTTTTTTAATAATAAGGAAGAATCATTTTAGAAAAAAGATAAAAAGAGAATACAAAAAATAAGGATAAGGAATCGTTCATAATAGCAAAAAGAATTAAGAAAAAAAAAAAACAAACTTCAATGTGAAATTTGCAATCCCTTTGCAAATTAGCTGAAAAGACCCCTGAAAGTGACCATGGGCCAAATATACTAATCTATTCCAAAGCAATGCTCGATTTCGTAAATAGTCTTTTTAGATATGGCATTCCTTTCAATCTACATCACCCAGAAAACAGGAAAAACAGCTGCTCTTCTTACAGGTTAAACATAATTTATCTGAAAATAAATAAATAGAGATCCTGCAATAGCATTTAACCTTGAACATTAAGGCTCCGTTTATCACTTGCTTGTTTATCTTTCTTTGTCAAGTAAAGAACATTTGAACCAAAATTAGCTTGATGACTGCTTGGACGATATGATCTGATCTTTCTAAATCGACAAGGACATTAGTTTGCCTTTTCCTTGTATCATACAGCCATTAACATTAACTCATAGGAGATCGGAAACAATGAACACTTTGCCACAGAAATTTTTGATTCTCAGCATCAACAAAAAAGTCCAAGCTATATTGCATACTTCTCAAGCATGTAATTATTTTGACAAGGCAGAAAGAGGATGTAACACATACAAGTCTAAGAGATCAAAGCATTTGAATATTAGAGTTTAAACAAGTTTCCATTTTGCAGTTCCTAAATAATTCCATATAATCCTCACTGACCCCCCTTCATTACCACATCCTAAAGTCTTCCCCTCTCTCTTTTTTAATTCCACACCTTTTCGCACTTCTGGATGAAAATAGATTTTGACTTTGAAGTTCAAGCTATCAGAAGGCTTCATTTGTTTCCATCCCCTAGACTAGACTTCACATCAGACTGCAACTTGCTGCAATATAGCAGCCTGCGATGCTGCGAAAGTAACAAGTGGCTTAATATAGAATATGAAGAGGTGATAATACAAATCGGGACTAGCAGATTTTAGAGGAAAAAGTCTATTCTATCTACAATCTAATCCAAGTTTCCAGAATAGCCAGAAATAGGTAAGGAAAATGTTGCCAGCCAGTAAAATAAAATAAGGAAAACAAGAAAAAAATTGCAAAATAGTAGAGAGAACCAAATATCTCACAAGTTGAAAAGTCTTTTCTTTCTAGTACTTGTATTGAAGAAAATTGTTCTAGGAGTGAGATAAATAAATGTATTTCAGGTAAAATATTTTAAAATAATCTTACCCTGTCAAAGATGTGTTGAAAACCAATTCGGCAACTTGAGTTCCTGGAGCACCAAATGACTTGGCCCTCCAAATTGAACCATCTTCCAGCACAAGCCTAGCATTGTATATATTCCAGGGTTTTTCCACCAAACCTAGAATCAGCAGTGTGATTGCAATGAATTATAAATATAGAGAGCAACCATAAAACTATAATGTGCCAAAGCCATAAGCAGAGAGGTAAAGAATTGCAAGGCAAGTGGAACGTAAACAGTAAATAATCCTATCAACTGGCGACATTTACCACAATAGATTAGAGGCATGACTAAATTAATGCTGGCAGAAAATTTCTCCACCATGTGGAGTCAAAAAGAAATGAAAAAAGAAAAGAGGTGTGTTTAACTACATGCTCGAGAACTTTGCTCAATTTCTCAATTATAAAAAAAAGATGGGAGTCAGGACTAGCCAATAGGGAGGTATCAAATTTTAATGGCATAAAGAAACTCAAGAATGTGATACAGATGGTAGAGACAGAAAGGCAGTATCCTCCCAATCATGGCATCAACATATTATTTACAGTAGTTATGTAAAACAAACATATTATTTACAGTAGCTTTAACTCTAGTTTCCTTGACCAAACAAAACTTACAAACTGGCAATGCTTGTATCATGTATGTGCATCTTTCAATGACTGTTATGCATTGAAGTTACATCAATCATTGTAAATTACCAATTTGAAACACTTCCAATATTAAATTTTTATTCATCAAAGAAAAGAGAGAGTGCACTTCAAAAAAAAAAAAAAAAAAAAAAAGGAAGAGTAAAACAAGTGATACGGTTATGAGAAAAAATTCCGGTAGCAAGTTGGACGAGGTAAACATTCTAGACTCCTCATAGCCCTAAACTAATAACTAACAAGTAAACGGAAGCTAAAATCAAACGGGACATAGAGTACTCACACCACCTTTCTGTGCTCACCAATCATTCTACTCATCTAAACCAGTTAAATATTGAAGCTTTGACCCTCTCAAATAGATAACTAAAGAATATCATGGTTGAATTTGGGCACCGGAAAAGATAGTTATGTTAAGCAGATAGATACAGCACTTTCGTCCAATTACTTTGCACGTTTCTATAGAGCTGTAAAGCTTTCTTTACGTTTATGATTTTCCTTCTCCTTCTCTAGTTGCCTAATTTCTACTATTGCAATAAGCACAGAAGCAAGAATTTACAATCCCATATTCTGGGTAAAATTGAACCAAACGGAAAGAAACAAAAGAAGTAAAAGTTCTTGGCTTAAAGTCTCCATTCTATATTCAATAAAGTATAAGACAGGCCCATGCTAATAAAAATGAAAAAAATTATTTTTCTTTGGGGGGAAGCAGAAAACGAATGAATTCACGTAAAGAGTTCTCAGAAGAAAACAAACTAGTGGTAAGGTTACCCGTGCGAGAACCGTCAAGCGAAGTAGCAGAGCATCTGATAGCCGAAATCCTAGGTGGGGCTTTAGGGCTTAGGTGCTTTGGGATGGAGAGCGTAGGGGATAAAAAATCCACAGCTTTGGTTGCCATGGTTAAATCTCCCATGAGTTGGGTTTCTTCTTCGGCTTCTCAAGCCGAAAAATGGAGGCGGCTGCCTGCTACTCTTAGGTCTGAATTCTATTGAACACGTGCTGCTACCACTTCATCCTTTTACATGTCTTGTAATATAAATAAAAGATTATATTTTTATTTTTTAAATATATAGTACCATAAAAATATAATTATTCATAAAAAATAAGAAAAAGAAAAATTTATGAGAATATGGAATGAATTAAAGAATGAAATAATAAAAAACAATATTATAATTTTATTGACTGTAACTAAAGAATTAAAAAAAAAAACTATAAATTGACAGTTGATAAAGTAAAAAATTTATTTATTTCATTTAATATATAAAGTAGAATAAAAATAAGAAATATCTGAAAATAATTATATTTTTATACCTAAAAAATCTTAAAAAACTGAAAGAAAAGTAAAAAAAATGACTAAAAATTAGAAAAAGGAAAATGATTGGAAAATCTGAAAAATAAGAGAAGAAACTATAAATTTAAAAAATAAATAACAGAGGATTGATAAACATCATATATAAATACATTATATATATATATATAAGTAATACCGTAAAATGCTGCACGAAAATTTTTTATTTTCTAAATAAAAATATATTAATATTAATTATAATATATGTCAATAAAATTTTTAAAATATTATCTACTCAAATTTTAGAGTGTAAAAAATAAATTACATCAAGTAAAAATGAAATGAAGATAAAAACAAGTGAGCTGCCAATGTTTGTCTGTACAAACAATTTAAACCTGCATGCTTATAAAAAATATGGGCATTGGAAACTTGAGCTTCCTGCAAGCTGATATGATACAAAAGTTAATTCAAGTCTTCCAGTGCAGTAATTTTTTCAAAACTACAAAACAAGTCAGAGGCTTTCTCATTTTATTATGATGCATTCCCCTTTTCCCCTTCACAATTTAGAGACTTCATGCAACACAAGAAATCTTTCATGAACCAAAATCTCATCGCATAGCATGTCCGTCTCGAAAACAAAATCTTAAGCTAAAACCTACAAGCTCATTGTTTGATTCATTATGCGGATAAAGGGTCTTCTGCCTCCTTTTCGTTGCTGAAAAATGGAATAGGTTTTGTAGGGGCAGGAAGGCGTCCGATGCTATCGACTTTATCTCTCTGTTTTGGTGGAGGCCTAGCAGCTTTCGGCAATAACCTTCCCTTCTTTTCAAACCATTCGGGCTTCAGTAATGCTCGCAAACCCAGCTTGTTGTAATAAACTTTTCTGACAGATCCACCAGCAGTTTCAACCGCTTCCTTTGCCCTAACAGTCACTCTTGATACCTGTATGTTCCAATTAAAACAAAAAACATGTATTGTACTTGAAGCAGAAAACATGAACTTTGTATGCTCCATTTAAACTTAATGATCAAGAAATCTATGCTTAAAATTCAGATGTTTGGACAATTGAAAACAAGTTCTAAATAAGGAATATTGACAACCAACTAATTAGACATTACTACAACAGACTTGAAAAACAATTAATCCATCTGAATGGTGACACGATTACACTGTCATAATCAATCATAGCAATTACGTACCACACAGAATTTGATAAGGAAGAAAGCAACTGTAGATAATTCATTAGTATATAAAAAGCCACTGGCTAAAGAAATAGTAAAACCTTGGCTTCTATAATAATTAACAGGTTTTCTGCCTTTTGCATAAGCAAAAAAGAAGCATAATTTACGTACAAGAGAATTGTCAAGTCCTATTATAAAATCATAAAAAAGAAGTGTCATATATTTTCACACTGAATCATATTGCACAAAAAGGTAGAATGGCACTTACAAGCCAAAATATTAAAATCCTTATCCAACCAAAAATAACAATCAAACTAGAGCACGCATTATTTCCTCACCAGCTCCAAGCAACGTTTGCTATCTAAAAAAGGAACCAAGGTTGCCAACAATAACATACCTCTAGATGAATTGGCCACTTGATCTGTTCAGAACCACGTCCCATCAATCTTACACCATCTCCTATCTGTTTTCCTATGGCTCTGGCATCCTATTGAAAAGGTAAAAGCTCATACAAGTTGAAGCCCATGAAACTAATGCTTTGAATTTAGAAAGTAGTGAAGAAAGTTGCATACCTTGAGAGTTTTCATTGTGATAAGTTCATGAGAATCTATCTTACCTGCATTGATAAGTTTTGCAATCTTTCCTAACCCCACTGGCTGCCAGACAAAAAGCAAATAAATTAACAGGTCAACTGTAATAAAGACAAATAGGAACTAAAAGATGTGTTTCCGATAGAAGTTAGTGGATAATGTTAATGAACTACATCCACATGAATATATTCTGCATGCACAATTCGTACACCTTTATGTAACAGAGACATAAATTAATGCACACCCATACAAACACCTGTATATACACAATTGACACATGCAACCATACGTAGAATAGTAGTGCGCAATCACATTGATGCATATACTAGCATGTACACAAATGCCCTAGCATGTCCTGGTAATTCTTGCCCCCCCCCCCCCCCCCCCTACAGAGATATCCATCTTGATGGAACACTTTTTGCCTTTGAAAAAAATCTTGAAGCATAGGTTGTTAAAAGCTTTGATGCTTACTCAAGTTATTCTTCAAGACAAAGGATAATTAATGCAAACATCAAAGTCTTAAACAATCCATGCTCAATAGAAAGCAGCAACTCAAGCAAAATTTTTTAGGTTACTAGTCAGCACCAAGTTGTCCTTATTTGGGTCCTTGTTTTCTAGAGAAAAACATAAAGGATTAATATTGAAAGGGAACATGAAAGGGAACCAAGGGCTAGTGCCATGCACAACGGAAATCTCATAAAAAGAGAGAATAGATCAAAAAAGAGATACAATATCCACTTCATAAAAAACAAGATGACCCTTAAACATAGACAAGGTCCTAATCCAATGACCCCTTATGAAATCAAAGGGGGATTTCCTTTCTTTGAAAATGATCCAGAAGTAGATTGAAGGATGAGAGATAGGAATCCTTTGTAGCATATATCTTTGGATATTTTAACAACATAATTAGTTAATAATACCATTTTTGCAACAATCAACGGTGAACCTACAGACATTATGTTTTTATAGATAATGCAAAAACATCTTCTTCCATATAATGTAGTGTTTTATGCAATACAAGTATACGTTTAAGTTAGCATGGAGGTAACCAACACCACTTGGAGTACTACAGTCCTTTTACTTACAGTAGCTTCAAATTTATAGCACCCATTAAAAATTCAAGAAATGAATTTGATCACAACGCAAATATGGGGAATGGACAGTATGAGAAGCTGAGAAACCTAAACAAAAGCGACATTTCCAATGAGAAATTTGAAAATGGAGACTACTAGGAATATCCGCTAGCAAAAAAAAAAAGAAAGTTTATGAGGGGACTTGCTCTCCGTGATCACTGGTTCTGAATGCAAAATCCCCAGTGTTTATTTAACCAACTCAACCAATCTAAAAACAGAGACGCCATGAATAAAGCTCCATTTTTTAGAATTGGAGGTTTCAACAACACACAGAATCTGGGACGGATTACCTACCTGGAAATTGAGGCTCAACGGATTCTTGAACCCCCGTTTTGGCAAACGACGTCGCATCGGGGTCTGCCCTCCTTCGAACCCAAACTTCATAGTCCCTCTCGCCTTCTGTCCCTTGTGACCCCTCCCTGCAGTCTTTCCCTTCCCTGATCCAATACCTCTTCCCTTCCTCGTCTTCTGCTTTTTCGGAATCTTGTCTCTTAGATCATTTAAGCTCAATAGACTATAAGCTCTCATACCCTGAAATAATAACGAACTACTCAGGCTACGGTTACTGATATGACCTGAACTAAGGCATTGTATGGACTGAATCGGGAGATGAGTTGTGGAGATGTGACTCGGCTTGGTATGGAATGTGGAGTTGAGGAGTGAAGTTGAGAGAATCGAAGAAATTCTTCTTCTGATCATTTTCTTTTATAAAATTTCGAATTGAGGTTCTGACAGTTTTAGTTCGTTTCAGGGAGTTAGGGTTTTTGTGTTCATCTTGAAGTCTAGGATTCTATCGCTCAGTTTGAAGGAGACGAGCACATTGGCGGCCATTGCTGAACATTGTGGTTTTTTTTTTTTTTTTACGGATTCTTCTTCGTACGGCCCATATGCTATATGATGGGCTTTAGTTGATCAAGGCCCAAACTTAACAACGTAAAAGAACAGAGTACGAAAGTGCAGGTTGTTCGCATACCATCTCCTTCATTACTCAACCTAGGGTTTTGACTCGGAAAGCAGAATTTCTCAGTTTCTCCATTACAGTCTCTTGAATTGTCGAAACTCGAAAAGAAGAGGGGAGAAACAGAAAAAAGAAAGAGAAGATGGCTCGGAACGAAGAGAAAGCGCAATCTATGCTGAATCGTTTCATCGCGCTCAAGGCCGAGGAGAAGAAGAAGCCAAAAGAGCGGAGGCCGTATCTGGCGTCGGAATGCCGGGACCTCTCGGAAGCGGACAAATGGCGGCAACAGATCATGCGGGAGATCGGTCGTAAAGTCGCTGAGATCCAGAACGAGGGGCTCGGGGAACACCGACTGCGCGACCTCAACGATGAGATCAACAAGCTCATCCGAGAGAAGTCGCATTGGGAGCGCCGCATAGTTGAACTTGGCGGCCCCAATTACGCCAAGCATGGAGCGAAGATGACGGACCTCGAGGGCAACATCGTCGATGTTCCAAACCCTAGTGGCCGAGGTCCCGGCTACCGCTACTTCGGCGCGGCGAAGAAGCTCCCCGGCGTCAAGGAGCTCTTTGAAAAACCTCCCGAGCTCAGAAAGAGAAGGACGCGATATGACATATACAAGAGGATTGACGCTAGCTACTACGGTTACCGGGACGATGAAGATGGCGTGCTGGAGAAGGTGGAAGGCCCTGCGGAGGAGCGCATGAGGAAGGAGGCCGTGGAGGAATGGAGAAGGGTTGAGGAGATTCGAAAGGAGGCAAGGAAGGGCGCCATGGAAGTTGTCAGTGTTGGGGCTGCAGCTGCGGCAGCGAAGGAGGTGTTGTTCGAGGAGGAAGAGGATGTGGTGGAGGAGGAGAGAAGGGAGAGGGAGGAGAGAGAGAGAATGAACAACGAGAGGGAGTTTGTAGCACACGTTCCGCTTCCTGATGAGAAGGAGATCGAAAGGATGGTTGTGGAGAAGAAGAAGATGGAGTTGCTTAGTAAGTATGCCAGCGAAATGTTGTTGGAGGAACAGAGCGAGGCTAAAGCCATGCTTAATATTCAGAGATAGCTCATTGTGGTTGGTTGATGGTATGTCTTCCCTCTGTTGTATAATAATGAATTGATGATCTTTCTACTGGCTCGCACTTAAGAGGATTGAATTATTTGGTTATTAGTCTGGCGTGTTTTGCTTTTTATGCTCTTCAACTCCCATATTAGGGCAGAAAACAGTCTAGTTTAACTTCGAACATGATAACATAGGATAAAATCCTGGGATTTGTCATTACCCAGATTGTATGAATTTTCTTCCTAGAATTTGTTTCCTTGTTATCATAGCTTTTAGTTGATTTGACGTTTCTAGTTTGCAGATTCTCCTCATATCTAGCATATTTTATGCATGTTTTTAGCACTTGAATGGTGAAACGGTGCTAACAGACTGAGTGCCCTTAGTTCAATGCTGCAGCTTATTTGGTGCTTTTCATGTTAAGATTGATTGTGCCAGATATGTAGTATTTGTGCTGGTTCTCAATAGTATTGAGAATATCTTAGCAGCTTTTGGTAAGAACAGAACTATAACATTGTTACCACAGTATGATGTGCATCGATTCCAAAGAATAATATTGTGTTAGTGTTATTCATTTTTAAGGGTTATTTTTCTGGAAACTTGTGCAAGCATCTTCCTTTCTTGATTGGACTGCCCTTATACTTGTGGTTTCATGGTCTGTGCTTCCATCTACACATTGTAGCATTTCGACTCTGCTTGTGGTTTCATGATGTGAATAGAGAAAATGTAATCAGTGCATGTTAATGGACATTGACTGTGTACCTCTGCACTGCTTCCTGAAGTCATTTTATGGTTTTTGATGACGGGTTATCATGGGGTTCCATTATGGAGTTCTTGTCTCATTATGGTTTGTTGATTATGTTGCCATTGAGTGCTTTTATAGAGGCATTGTGGGTAAAAGGTGCGAATGAATGTGATGAAGATATAATGCAGTCATCTCAAGTTGTTTTTCAAAGTATTGGTGTTCACTTGGAATTTGGACTTATCCAAGTATTAGTTTTGGTCAGAAGAAGCGCAACAGGAATTAATATCTTATGATTGACTTTCATTCAGTTCTAGAAGTTGTATGTCTGCACAGTTCAACCATGTGATCAAGATACTGATGGAGAAGAATGCATCAAGAAATTATTTCTCTCCGTGCTTTCTATTTATGGCTAATAGTTTGAACTTATATATCTGTGTTGAATATATTCTGTAGTGTCATCTTAGCATAGAGAAGAGAAGGAATTGAAAAGAGTTAGTGGAGAAGCAGAGAGAAGGGATCTGGGGTTCTTATACAGTTTTTGTAAATATAAAGATACAAAATATGATGCATGCGAAGGTAAGGGCACATAATTGAAAGCATATGGTTAAATGCATCAATTTGTTACTAAAGGAGTTTTTTTTTTTTTTATTGGAGGTAGTGTTTCAGCCTCAAGGGCTAGTGAATTATCTATTCCTATTTTGAGGAGAGGTTCAGAACCATATGAAAAAATTATTATTGAGGATGCTTTTCGATGAAGTTAGATGTTGTTGAAAAGATGGCAATACCAGTGAAAGCATGATACCATTTGGATACCATTTGCATGGCTTGTTGTGGGGTGGGGGAGAGAACTAACACACTTAATATCCTATACATCTTTGTGAATTTGCGAAACTGGGAATCCTCCATAAACATTGTTCACCTGTCTGGAAGTTAAGTTCAGAAGATTTTTTCTGATGCATAAAAATGTCCTGTTATAATTTTGCAAGTTCACAATTTAATGAACGTAGAATGTTTTCTCAAGTGTTTATTTGGTTTCTTTTACCTGTCACAAAAAGATAGGCTTGTACAACCTCATTTGAACTGAGGAATGATAGAAATAGGTCCGTTATGGCTTTGAATAAGATTTGCTTTCATTTTTAGGTTGGAATGACGATGTTGTACAGACATTTTTTTGCTTCCATGCCTGCTCTTCACGCTCATTCTAGAACTTGAGTAGCCATGGTGCTCTTTGTGAGTGCAAGTTCATATGGCATGACACTTTCATGGGCTTGCGGAATTTGGGAGGTGGAACACCAAGATGGAGCAACCTTGTCCACCATGTTGCTCGTGTCTACCATTTGTGCTGGTAAAGCTTCTTGATTGGCTTCTTGTAACCGGTTGGCGACCCCATTTTCCTCCTCAGTGTATTACTGTATTCACGTCTATTTGGGTTGAATATGCGATAATTCCCTTCCTCGTTTTAGTTGGTACAAGTGAAAATTAGGATGCGCTCGAACGGATGTGAGTTTTCTGTAATGAGATTTATCTAATTTTCTGTAATGAGATTTATCTAAGATTACTGAGTTTGAAAGTTGTTGGACATGAAAGAGCTCAGATGGATTTTAATTTTACCGCCACTGGTTTCTTTTTTCTTTTATAACAAAGGCTAAATTGATTATGTTATGTTTGGATGTTTTAATTAATTAATTAAATTAATAATTAATAAATTAAGAATAATATTAGACTTATTTTTTTTATTAAATTAATTAAATAGTTAAAGTCATTTTTTGAGTTACTTTTTTTAAGTTTTCAAATATGATTTAATCATTTTAGCTTTTTTTATTAAGAAATATAAAGAAACTGAGTATTTTAAACAAATAAAAAATATTATAAATAAAATTATAATTAAAAAATATTAAGTATCAAATTGTAATAAACACCAATTGTTGAGGACTAATTTAGCAATTTATTAAAAAAAATTTTTATAACATTTTTTTACTAGTTAATAAATTATATATCAAATACAATATACTATTAAAATATATGATCATATCATTTAAATTTTGAAAGAATTGCATTTTACCAATATATGAAATTTATATTTGTAACAAATTTCATCTTCCAGTGTATATTATCTAGATATCAGTGTCTTTTAATGGATGTCATCTAAATTTATAAGACATTATATTTTCAAATATAGATTATCAAGATATTGTATCTCCCGATATAGATTATTCAACCGTTTAAAGATATTATATTGACATATATTAAATATTTGTATTTCTTTCTTAAAATTTTATATTGTATACAATGTATCTTATAAATATTTTACATTTAAACTTTATATTTAGTACAACATATTTATTTTTTATCTGATATATAATATATCTGATAAAACTGAACATTTTAAATAAATAAAAATTATTATAGATAAAATTATAATTAAAAAAATTAAGTATCAAATTGTAATGAGTACCAATTATTAGAGACTAACTTAGTAATTTTTTTAATAACATCTTTTAACTAGTTAATGAATTATGTATACAATACAATAGACTTTTAAAATATATGATTATTTAGAATTTGAAAAAAATTACATTTTACTATAATAAATTGTCTAAAATTTACAAAATACGGTGTATATTCGATGCATATTATTTAGATATCAATATTTTTAAATTGATTTTATCTAAATTTATAAGATTATATATCTTCAAATATTGATTATCTAAATGTTGCATCTCCCGATTTAAATTATTCAAATGATTAAAGGTATTGTATTGATTGATATAGAATTTTCGTATTTCTTTCTTAAAATTCTATGTCGTATACAATGTATCATACAAAATATTTTACATTCAAACTTTATATCTAGGATAATATACTTATCTTTTATATGAGATATAATGTATATGATAAAACTGAATGTAAAGATCCAGAATTTAAATGAAAATAAAATCATAAATTAAATATAGAAGCGAAATAATAGAGTTTAAGATTTACATTATTTACAAGATAATTTAAAATGCCTAATAGAATTACGAGAATGTCCATTCTCAAGAACAAACGAAAATTAAAGAAATAAACAAAAGACAAATAATTGAGTATTTTACAATGACCTTTACTAGCTTTTGAAGGAGTGCAGATGGTGAACTATTCACAACTCTCTTATTGATCGAGATCTCGATTTTGGTCATCTTATTTGAAATAGTTAT